TTTTACAAGTTTCACGAAATAGATAAATTTTCGTCTGGGTTCGTGCTATTTTGGGTAGTAGAGAAAGTTTCGTGAAGACTTGTAAAACAAAGTGAAGAACCAGAATATCGATGAGAGTACTTATCAAAGGGGATAACTTTGGCTTTGAGTTAATGAGAACACAGCTGAACGTGCTCTCTACCTCCCAAGACAGCGCAAACACAGACGGACATTTATCTATTTCGTGAAGACGTATTTGAAAAATACCGGAAAGAACCAGATCTTATCTGAGATAGAATTAATTCTGTTTTTTTGCTGTCTCTTGGTAGATAGGAAGCACGTTTGACTTTTCTCTCATTAGCTCAAAGCCAATGTTACCATCTTTTATAATTCTTCTTAACGACAAATCTAGTTCCTTACTACGTTTTACATTGGATCTCCACGAAATAGATAAATTCCTTCTGGGTTTTGCGGTATCTTGGGGAATGACCGTCGGAGCACGTAGCTTTGTTCTCATTAGCTGAAAGCCAAATTATGTTCCGGTCTTGTATAATTCTTTTTGACCACATTCTAGATCTGATTCCTTATCATGTTTTACAATGGGTCCCTGTGAAATAGATAAATTTCTCCTGGGTCTGTAGATGTAGACCACGTATAGCGTTGTCGTCATTAGCTCAAAGCCAATGTTACCGTCTTTTATAATTCTTCTTAACGACATTCTAGCTTCCTTACTACGTTTTGCAATGGGTCTCCCTGCAAATAGTTAGATCACTTCTGGGTTTTGCGGTATCTTGGGGAATGACCGTCGGAGCACGTAGCTTTGTTATCATTAGCTGCCAAATTATGTTACTGTCTTGTATAATTCTTTTTGACGACATTCTAGATCTGATTCCTTATCATGTTTTACAATGGGCCTCCACGAAATAGATAAATTGCTTCTGGGTTTTGCAGTATCTTGGGAGATGAAGGGCACGTAGCCATGTTCTCATTAGCTCAAAGCCACAATTACCATTTCTTATAATTCTTCTTAACGACATTCTAGAGATGGATCCTTTCTAAGTTTTACAATAGGTCCCTGCAAAATAGTTAGATTGCTTCTGGGGTCTGTGGTGTCATGGGGACTAAGAGGACGTAGCTTTGTTCTTCTTACCTGGAAGCCAAATTATGTTACGGTCTTGTATAATTCTTTTTGACGACATTCTAGATCTAGTTTCTTTCTATGTTTTACAATGGGTATCCACGAAATAGATAGATTGCCTTTGGGTTTTGCAGTATCTTGGGAGATTACAAGCACGTAGCTTTGTTCTCTAGAAGCCTTTCATTTCGTCTTATCGACATTTTTCTCCTTGACACATGGAATACATTATCCACATTCCACAATAGGACTTCACGAAAATGACAAACTCCATCTGGGACTCAAAGATAGTACAAAGAAGATTTCTTCTGGGGTTGTGTCGTCTTGGGAGATTTATTGAAAACGCTGTCCTCTTTGTTGGACGAAACTCAAAGCCAAGTCTGGCTCCAGGGTGAGGAAACTCGATTTTATGGATGACTTCCTCGCGAGGGTACATTGATTCTGGCGTCCGTCCCGGAGAAAAACAGGAAAACGTTCCTCCTCTCGATAGCGATAGGTGGTTACAGATTTACGGCGTCGATTGCCTCAGGAAATGTGAAAGCCCATACCGATCCGCAGTTGTGATAAGTTTTCAAACCAAAACGTCGCCAAACTGCCAGAGATGGGAGGACTGATCGTAAAACGTTCATGGCAAAACGTGGTGGTGAATTCTCGGTAATTGTCCGCTTGTACCGATGATTTGTGTGTGTATGAATGTGTGTGTGTTTGTGTGTATGTGTGTGTGTGTGTGTGTGTGTGTGTGTGTGTGTGTGTGTGTGCGTGTGTGTGTGTGTGTGTGTGTGTGTGTGTGTGTGTGTGTGTGTGTGTGTGTGTGTGTGTGTGTGTGTGTGTGTGTGTGTGTGTGTGTGTGTGTGTGTGTGTGTGTGTGTGTGTGTGCGTGTGTGTGTGCGTGTGTGTGTGTGTGTGTGTGTGTGTGTGTGTGTGTGTGTGTGTGTGTGTGTGTGTGTGTGTGTGTGTGTGTGTGTATCACGGTGTGTGTATGTGTGTGTGTGTGTTTGTGTCTGTTTGTGTGTCGGTGTGTTTGTGTGCGTTCGTGTATGTGTCTGCCGGTCTGTGTCTATGTGGCCTGTGTCTTATGACAGAGAATAAGCCTATCACATCACATTGACCCATATACACCAGTTCTTTTAGTCCTGTTGTTTTTCAAAACTCTTTGAAACCATTGCCCTGTCAACAGTACCTGAAAACGTGCGAATTTCCTATTGTTGGGGTCGATGACTCTTCAACCAATGACGCGTGAAATGGGAAAAACGGAAAATTTGCTATTTGCCACGGTTTATAAACAGTAAAATGCATGATCGTATATTTCTTGCCATTTCGACGTGATAGTTTCGGTATTCTGAGTGTCAGGTGCTATCATTCCTATGCACGGAGGTGTGAAATTGTGAAGGGCTATCTTACTTTTTCATGGGAGAAGATATATCATAAAAGCTCATATTTTACGACATTTCGACGCACAAACGCAGGATTTAGGTACTTTCACATACCGTGACAATAGGAATGATAAGCAAAGACATTAAAGCAAATTTTGAGCAAATAGACTATCTAAAGTTTAATAAACAAAAGTCACGCAGCACGGTGAAATAGTGCCGGTAAATCTATTCTAGTGATTGTCCATCTTCCAAGAAATGAAATGTAAAATGGTCAGAGACGTGAAAAGTGATAGGTTTTAGATTTCGGCGGCCAAAACACGCGACATGGGGTTCCTTTTATGATGGGATTCTAACTAGGTGATCTCCAAATCCAGATTGGTCTATCAGGTCTGGAAACTTTTAACGAGGCTGAAGCAAACAAAAGTTTGGAAAGAATTGTGGAAATATTGCTGAAAAGCGCTTTTGGAAAAGTTCTTATTCATAAGTGACCCATGTATTCAGTGCCAGTGATAGCAGTCTCTTAAGTTTATCGTTTTTTTAGTTTGGTTCAAGATTTAACATTCCTCTACAGTGGTACTTTGTGCATGTTGGCTAAAGACCAAATTGTGGGAACCTACCATGAAATGAAAAGACACGAAATCGTAGATGGCTTCTTTTTGTCACCAAGACGGGATGCCAAAACTACAAATTGTAGAAATCAATATCGTAGAAACAAAAGAACGGATCTTAAGTCATCGCCCATGGATATCTGAAAAATAGATCCATGGATCTGAGATATACCCTAGTAAAATGAATAAACGCCATTTCTCCTCCTATTGCCAAAAACTACAAATATTAGAAATCAATCAATATCGTAGAAACAAAAGAACAGATCTCAAGTTATTATGTGAAGTTGTCTTAGACAGACTATGCCTCATCCCATTGAAAATTCAGTCTTTCATTGTTGGCGGGTGGCCTAAGTGTAATCGTAACAATAACACTGAGTATTACACGATTCGTCTTCGGTTTAAAGCATCATTGATCCTGGTTTATTGTGTAGACTTCGATATCGTTTGTTACAACAGCCGATACAAAGATATTAAACCGATACATCAGCTATTATCTGTAATTTTGCCCTTCGGGGAGTATTAACGCTTAAAGCTAACAATCACTCATGGTGTTAGTAATAATGCTACATAAGTATATTTTATTTCTCTAAATAATTGTTATGAATCAACTATCAATAATTTGCCTTAGGGTCTAAAGGGTAATATATGGACTACATTGATCCACACACAATGAACTTTAGGTCCGTGAGGTATACCATAACTCAGGGACATATGAAAGATATTTACTTGCACCTAGTAGGTTATATATTTCGGGTCTGTGTGTGTTTTTGCATCTTTGTGTGCTTGTGAACAGCATAACTCCAAAAGTTGTGGATGGATCTTTTAGATATGTCGCATGTGGGTAGACGTCGGCAACGCAAAGGATAGGGTCGATTATGGGCCTCCTAGCGACTTTCTATGGTACTGCAGTAGGAACTCTTGGTAAACATGTACAGTCTCTCCCAGACTTCGGTATTCCTCTGTAAATTCCTCAAATAAGTTTCACCCGGCCAAGTAAGACCGCCCCGGTGATTTTGCCAGCCAGTATTTAATGAACAGACCGATTTGCTGAAGTACCTTCCAAAATCTTTTGAAAATTGCTTCCCCTTCTTTCCCCTGATGTATTACACAGATACCGTGTAGTTTAGCTGATTTTGTTGCAGATGTTTAACACAGTAACGTGTATTATTTTGTCTCATCTTAATTGAACTGTTTCGTGTCGCTGCTATCGGTAAGACCGTGTCTTCAGGCAATATCTTATCAAGTATCGACCCCGAGTCTTCTGGTAGTAATGAGTCCTGTTTCATTCACCCGCGGTCAGCCTTGAGATTACAGATGACGTCAGCTATTACCTGGAATCTATTCGGTAACGAACCGAGGAAAGCTTTTACTCGCGATTGTGTTTCGGCAAGGACACTGGCGACCAATCTTGAAGACGTCTTTCTAAAGTATCTGTAGAAATCTTAAATCCATGACAATTGCCACTTATGATGACAATATCTTTTACTGTATTTTGATCAGTATTAGCGCAGCGAATGATTTTAAACGTCCAGAAGGCGTTATTATTGGTGATCGTTTTAAGGTAACGCAAATTATGTAGAGAGGTAGATATGTCTTAAGTGTTCTACGTAACGTTACAGTACTGAGAGGCATGACTTCCTTTGGGGGGGGGGCAATTGCATTCTCTTAAATTCTTACTAAATTAAGTTATATTTACAATCCGTTAAATTCATATGCACAATCCCTTACTTCCAATGGCTATCAAATGCGCAATGTAAAGCCATGACAATAGCTTTTTGGTGTATTCTGGTTAAACATGGCAAAAACAGATAATCAAATTACATGAGAATTCTTTCAGCGCAGCGTCAGGTGTTACGTGCACGTGCGAACTGAGTTACACCTGCCCTGCCCAATCCGCCCTGCGCTGGATGCAGAAGAGACCTGCGTGTATTGGGGAGTAGTTATTGTAGGCTGTGCCGGTCGGGGGGACGGAGGTTCCAACCAGTGGCTCCTGCTACCGGGGCGGTGCACGGGAAGACTGTCGGGGCCGGGCGCACACAAGGCCCGTAAGGACGTCTGCCTCGCCACGGTGACTGCCGTACCGAGTCCATGGCGGTCCTACTCGTCTGGTGGACGGTGTTGGTTCTTCTGCAGATTTCGGAGAGGTAAGTCTTTGGATTTTTCTTTAACTTCTTTTGATAGACTTAAAGGAAGGTAAGTGGCGTCTTAAGGAACGATGGCACCGTCTTACAATCAAATGACACTTCACGAAAAGACCATGATCTGAGAAATGGGATAATGTGAATCTTTATTGACAAAGTGGAACCGTACCAAATAGAGGTACCTGGCCCTTACACGTACATAGAGGCGTACCGAAGAGACCTCAAATGATCAGTGCAATGATATCTGCATCCTATACTGAAATGGCACTTCAAGGAATCACCCTGATCCGAAAAATGTCAAGAGAAAAAGGATAAATAAATCTTTGGTGACAAAGTAGGACCGCACCAAATGCAGGGAGCTGGCCCTTAAGCCTACGAGTAGAGGCGTGCTGAAAAAAGCTTCAAATTAACAGTGCAAAGATAGCCGCATCTTATACTGAAATGGCACTTCACGAAATTGCCTTGATCTGAAAGATGGCAAAAGAAAAGGATAATTTAAATCTTTGGTGACAAAGCGGACACTGTACCAAATACATGGAGCTGGACCCTTCAAGATAGAGGCGTTCTGAAAGGCCACAAATTACCGGTGGTGCCCACTTCTCATCTTATCATCTTATACTCAAATGGTACTTCACCAAAAGGTCTTAATCTGAAAAAAAATGGCAAGAAAACAGTGTTATATAAATCTAAAGCAACAAAGTGCATACCGTACCGAATACATGTTCACGTAGCTTACTCTTTAGCATAGAGGCGTTGCGAAAGAGCCTTAAATTAGCAGTGTATAACTCCATACAATATAAAGAGACATCGGCACCTGTTAAAGTAAGCATACATGATTATGCACCTGTTTGTTGCGTTCTGTTTTCCCCCATCTATAAATAAACATAATTGGCAGCCGTAGCGCCCCGCGCTGCGTGGAGGTAGACTTTTCATTAGACGTGGTTACAGAACAGTCATTAAACCTGCCAACACAGCAGCGACCTGCAGGGCGGGCGCAGATGATCCTTACGCACCAATAAATCATCGGGAATTAAACTCTAACCAAGCACAGAATATTCCTTGAATATGGTTGTGAGAAGACCGCGTAAAAAGTGTAAATTATACGGCAAGCTAGTCGACGGTAATGAAAAAAAGTAAAATCACCGGCAATCATGGACAAGAGAATTTAAACTTCAACCAAGAACAAAACGTTCATTGCCTCGAATATGGACAACGCAGGGAGGAGAAAATGTGAATTGTAATGCAATATATTTATTTGACGGTTAGAGAAGAGTCAAATCAACATTTTGTGAAGCATAGAACGTTCTTGCAATGTGGAAAACGTTGTGAGAATACGAAGGAAAACATTAAAGGGAAAGTGGAACGATTGAAAACGCATTATCTGTTTTGTATCTCAAAGTATATATTGCAATGCAAGCTGCTCCATGATAATAAAAAAGGAAAGCCAAATCAACCATTCCTGAAGCATAGAAAGGTCCCGAAATATGAAAACGTTTTCAGCAAGCACGTAGAAACATAACACAAAGTAAGCTAAGTGCGACATTATAAAACGCGTGTGTGTGTATCTCATTTTGTAGCGAATATATAGCTAAATGCAATCGACTTGCAATGGTGTGATTTGAGACCAAGGGAAGTCCGGTAGGAATGCACGAAGATTCCTCTTGCGGATTTGAAGTAGTAAAATCTATACACTAATATTTGTGATTAATTTCAACGCGTTTATTTATATATATTTATATATATATATTTATATATCATACAGTAAAATCATAACACGATCAGTCAGCTTTTCCGTCGATTTCAGACCCAAAATACCGTCCAAAAATTCACATGTTGGTAATTTCACGTATTTGTTTATAACTACTGTCCAGTCCAGGCAGAGGTTGGTGGACAAGATTATTTAAAAGCCTATTATCTAAGACACTTCAGCATATGGTTATTCGGACTAACATTTCAAAATTTAAAGTTTCAAAACCAGCCGAATGAATTATACATATCATAGACAGTTTGCAGTAGAATACTTGTGTAGGCGTGTGGACTGTTTGCGTCATAGCTGACAGAACGTTGGCGTAAGAAATGAATACAGATGACGACATTCCGTGTAAGTAGAACGC